CAACAAGGAAGGAGCTTCACAGAGCTGAGCCAGGAGCAGTTGCACCAGTAGAGCCTGAAAGAGCAGGACCTGTGGGCAGCAGTGGGACCCTCAGCAGTGCGGCGTGCGGCCAGCAGGAGATGCTCCCCACTGGGCTCCAGGATCCCCTATGAGAGGCTGTGGCCAGCAGGAGAGGCTTCTCCGCTCCAGCAAGGATCTGAGCAGCAACCTGAGAGGTTCCCAGCTCTGCTTCCAGCTCCTCCAAACAGAGGCCAGGCAGCTCGATGTGAGGCTGGGGCTCCGGAAAGGTCAAGACCCCTAGCAGGCTAGAGCAGTACCACTACTGCTGGCTGTGTGGTGATGTTTCTGGTTACTATGTGGGAGGTCTGAGTTCAAGTCCCAGCTGGTGTGAGTGAGCTAACAAGAAGCAAGTCTTCTTGCAGTGGAAAGGGGCCATTGTGCTTTCTCCCCCTTCAGGTACCTAGGCCCTATATTTCCTTGACATTTTGTGCCTTTTTATATTTCACCAACCCATATTGTTTGTTCTGCTGTTTGTGTTTTATTTTTTGATAACCCTGTCTTTTGTCAATGATTGTAAGTGTCTAACCTTTGTTGAATCTTGCCCCTTGGGGCATTGTAGTGTCCACTATACCCTCTGATTTATACCTGTTATGTTCCCAGTATTAAAAGGTATATGGTTAAGTCCCCATTGGTGGTCTGGCTCTGCTCTATAGGGGGAAGAGAGTCCCTACACCTCCCATAGCACTTGTGCACCTGCTTGATCCCTTCAACTGGAGAGGGGGTACCTCTTGGAGTACTGCCTGGGTTACAAATCAAAAAGAAAAAAAAAAGTCCCATCCACGGGTAATAACTGCCATCAGCTAATATGATAAAGAAAAGCAGCATGTCAGCTTACATTCACAGGGTCCATGCTTCGGCTCCCCACCATCAGCTCGCATCCTTGCTGTGATGTGGCTGCTGTCTCTTTGGGGCTTCCATGGTTTCCCTCTTCCCACCTTTGGACCGCTCATCCAGCTTCTCTGTGGAACACTCTGAGACACTCCTTCCCCTTCAGCTGCTCTCCCCTGACTACCACTCTGCCCAGGGTTTTTATAGTTCTTCCCCTTCTGGTCAGCTGACTAGCTGGCCAGGCTCAGCATTTAACCCCTTCTTTACCAGCATTCCATGCCCAGAAAGTTCTGGCCTTAAAGGGGTGGATGTGACTTCTGGCTAGGGTCCCCTGTTACACTCCCAATGCCCTTGCCCTTGTTGACCAGGTCCTGTGTGGTGGCAGTCCCCCCTGTCCTCCAGGCCACCGGAGTTTGTTGTGGGGACAGTGCCTCACCTGGTCTTGCATCACTCCCCACTCTACCACCTAAGCTGGCTGGAGGACACCAGACCAGTCTGCTTTTCCACCTCTACATGCTCGTGTACCGCATGATCCATCGTGCCGCTCTTGTCTCCTGCCAAGACACCAAGTGGTGGGACCTGCTCAGAAAGATTGTGTCTGGGGCATCCCAGTGGCTGAGTCTGTATTCCACCCTCATTCCATGAGACCCTGGGGACTTCAGCTGGTGGCTCCTCCATGGAGCCATTGCCACGGGAGTGTATATGGCAAGCTTCACAGACACCCTGGCCTCCTGCCTCATCTGCGAACAGAGGGAGACCCTGGCACACATGATCCTCAGGTGTGCCAGGCTGCAGCCCTTCTACCTCCAGAACCTCCCCTTTAGGTTCTGGTTGAATTTAGCCCCCCACCTTTTTGTTTTTGGTTACACCATCCATGGCCCCACCAAGTCCTTAGACCTCCTGGTCAACATCCTCTTGGCCCTGGCCAAATGGGACCTGTA